ACATCCGCCCCGTCTTTGTGCGGAGAGATCTCGGTGTACCAGACGAGTTCACTGAGAGACACCCTGCCTGACGAGTCAGTATTGCTACGACATGGCAGTCAGAGCGCTGTGATCCCCAGTCTACTCTCCCTGTGGCGCAACGCCATCAAAGTCAGTGGCACTTTTGACGCATCAAACCGCTGCAGAGTTTCACCTATCCAGGACATCCACCTGATGGGAGAGAACTTTACTGGAATCGGTCATCTTCCTGCAGCTGCTCGCCGTTCTCGGGACACGGAGCGTCAGGACTTTGATATCCTCATCACATCAGAGCATCGCATCATGATTCTTGCGCCAAAGCTGACCGAACCCCAGGAGATCCCGATCTCTCAGCAGTCAGTGAGCGAAGAAGCAACCACTGAGGCCGATCAGCTCATGCTCCGCAGGGGAGAGTTAGACGTGGATGGAATGGACCGCCTTCTGAGTGGCATGGCCAGCGGCAATCGATCATTGCGAATGGGAAGTCCAGTCAAACGAGCACGCATCTTCGCTTGAAGCTTTGAATTTAACTTGAAATCCAAACAGAGATACCCACTACTTCCTACGCGAGAATAATCCCACTGATGATAAATGTAGTGCACCCTTGTTCTTTTTCCTTTCTTACTGAAAAGGTCATCATGCCTTCCCAAGTCGACACAATTCGCGCTGCAAGGTGGAGCGCAAGGCGAGGACCATGCCTTGAAATCCCGTCTTCGTGACGGGATAAGCTCTGTATCAGATGCGAGACATCAAACCAAGAATCCCCATCCGAATCCAGTTCACTGGACCCCTGTTTTCCGATCCTTGACGACCATTATTCTATCGAGGACTTCCGTCGTCGCTTCTTCATCTGGATTGTCTGGTTCTTCCAGTCTGTTATTCCGCAGGCAATGACGCTGATCTGTCCTCCTTTGCGGAGAAGATCGGATGGAGTTGATCGGTTCTGATCATCGCGTTCGAACTTCGGGCAAGTCTACATCAGCGTCAGTGTCGGCGGAAGGGCAGCTGGGCGGACTTGAAGGGTGACCGAAGACTAGGAAACGGGGAGTTATTTCGGTTTGGGACATTTCACCGTAGTTTTTAATGGAAAATGACTAGAGTACACTTATATTAGAAGTAATGTTGCTGAATTTCATTCTCATCTAAGTTCATCTAATCGAATCTATCATTGTTCCTCAGGCAGTGACTTGACAAGCATTTGAGATGTCAGCGAAAATGCTCTTTCAATATACATTCCTTCCTTGCCATTTCTTGCATATAGCCGTTCCAAAGCGTAATACATATGAAGAAAGAAAGCCAAGTCACGTTCGACCTTATTTACAACTCAAACATGTGGAGGAAATGCGACGGAGATATTCGAGATATTCCCCCATAGATACAGCACATCCAAGACACCGGGCAAGGCACAAGTGACCGCCTCTAGCTCATATTGCATTTCGCTTCCTGAAAGAAAGACTACAATGCGCTTATCCATTGTATCCCAGAGCCTCGAGCTCCTTTCGCACGGAGTCCTCAGTCTGGATCTTCTTCACCTGCGTATCCTCCAGCTTCTCCCCACCAGCAAGTCGCATTTTCAGCTCCTCGATCGCCCGGATCTTCTTCAGAAGTCCTCGAATCTTCTTATCCTGCGCGGTGGGGTTCGCGGCCGCGTCTGCAGCGGCGTCTGCAGCGGTGGGGGCCGGGGCGGGTGCAGGCGTCTCGGCGGGTTTCGCTTTGGCCGACTGCGCCGCGCCGTTGGCCTGGTGGCCGTTGCGGCGGGCATTGCCGTCAACGTGACCGTTCTGGCCCTTGGAGCGGCTTCGCTCGTGGCCGCGACGGTCGGGGCTCTGTCCAGACTGGCCGCCGTGCGCCGGGGGGGCCAGACCATCCTGCTGCTGCTTCTTGGCTTCACGCTTCTTCTTGTTCTTCGCCGCCGACCTGGAGAGCTTCTCCTGGTCGGCTCCGGGCGGCAGAGCCACACCTCCTCCGGGAGCGGCTCCAGGAGGCAGGTATTCCTCGACCGGCTCTGCACCCGGCACCTCGCGTCTGCGGGGCTTGCCAAATCCGTTCAGCCCGCTGCCACCGCTAGCGCCATCACGGACGTAGGCTGCGCCGCCCTCATCTTCGCGCTTGAACGCGAGGGGCGTGAGCTGGCCACGGGCGCCTGGGGGACGGTAGGCACCGACCGGCTTCGCGGGCGCTTTCTTGGTGCTCAGGTAGGCCAGGGCGGACGGGTGAGGGGCCGGGAGAGTTTGGAAGGGATCGCCCAGAGGGTGCTGGATGGTCGACTGGGGCCTCCAAACGACTTCGTACAGCTCATTCATATCCTCGTTGTACATCAATCCACCGCTGACGTGCCAGATCCGGATGCCGTTATCTACTCGAAGACGCGGGCTGGTGGTAGCCGTCAAAATGAACTGTCCATCCGGCGACCATTCGCAGACACTGGCATTCGACGCTTCAACGGTCGTCACCTTGTTGTAGTTCTTGTCCAGGTCGTAAATGTCCATTTGCCCGGCCAAGTTACCGAAGCCAGCCACCAATACGAAACGTCCATGGGGAGAGAACAGAATGGTGTTGCGAGGTGCTAGAGGGAAACTGTGCTTGGCCACACCCCGGAAGTTGAAGATGGTGGTTTTCGCTGGCATGTATCCATACACAACACCAAATTCCTTTGAGTTGGGATTCCAGGACACATCGTGAATCGGGCCTTCCTTGTCTATACGGTAGAGTCAGCAAATGTACGATGGGGAAAGGCATACCGGAAGGGGCTTACCAAGGTCCACACGCGAATCAAAGCCACCATTGGCACTAAGCAGGTACAGAGTTGTTTCTCCGTAGTAACTCTTGCCGCTGCGATCGACCTCGGTCTGCGCAAGCACCAGCAGAGTTGTTCCATTGCTGTTCCACTTGAGCTGGACTTTGTCACCCTTGAAGAAACTCTTCTGGGACACTGGCGCTCCGAACTGAGGCACGTTGAATACCTTGACCGATGCTGGTTGACCCTGGACGAAAAGAAGAAACAAGTTAGTCGGCTGTAAAGTCATTGCGAAAGACCCGGGATCGGGAAACTAACCTTGCGCTCGGGAATAAAGACAGCAATCGAGTTGTTCTTGCCGGGAGAGAGGGCAAAGTCCGACACACCCTCCACGTGCAGCTTGTTCCAGACCTTTGACAGGTTGTCGCTCTGGAAAAACTGGACCTCGTTGGTGACAACGCGAGCGCAGAGGCTCTCATCGAACGTGTACTGGAGGTTCCAGCCTGTCTGCGACTTTTGAACGAAGCTGCCAATAACCGTATGCTCGTCTCCGTTGCTCTCAGGCGACGTCTCAATCACTTTCCAGACCTTGAGGTTCTTGACGGCGTCTCCGTTGGCGTCCTTTGAGGGTCGCTGCCAAGTGATCAGGTAGGTGCCGAGGGGGGAGAATCCCAGCTCAAAGACATTTTCGGCAGAAATCGTGGAGACGACGTGTCCGACAGAGGGGTCGACAATAGTGACCCTAAAGTAGATAGTTAGCGAGCCCGTCTGCTAATCTTCAGACAATCGCCATGGTCGCATACCTCTCGGGAGACGCCCAGGCAAAATATCGGCCGCATGGAGAATAAGAGCTACAGCGGAGGTTCCCCTCAGGCCTGCACAACAGAAGTTCTATCAGCCTAAATCGTTTGTATAGGTGCTGCAAATAGCTATTCTTACCTCACAAACCCCGACAAAGGTTCATAGACGGGGGCCGCATCCAAGATGCCAATCCCTTTGACCGTTCGGACTGCGGCAAGTCAGCACAATTCATACATTTTCATTTGTAGCTAATATAGGCGACAAGCTGTTTTGTTCAAAAAAAAAAAAAAAAAAAAAAAAAAAAAAAAAAAAAGAATGCGAAGAGGGAAACCTACAAGCAAGCTGTGTAGGAGCTGCCATGTTGATGTAATAATTCTCTCGACTCGGTTCTGAAATCCCGCTTTGAAAGTTTCCGATATGCACCACAGCAACGTTAATGCGCGCGTAACAGTGTCTCGGAATTCCAACGAAGCAGATAGTATCTAACGGACTCGACGTAGGTCTAGCTCGTGCTGCGTGTAACGAATAAGACGCAGATGGGCGCAGGATATAGTGAGATTTCAACACCAAAAGCGGCGATGGAGCAGAGACGTCACGAGTTGCAGAGCCGGGGGAGAATTGAGTCGACTCGAGGACAACTCCGTTTCAATGTGCTTGATGCTATTTGCGTGTGGCGAGCTGTTGTTTGTCTGACGGAACGGGACAGAGAAACACACACTGGGGCGCAATCTGGCACAAAACAAAGGCGGATGGCAGCTGAGCTTGACGGTTGGATGAGGGAAATAAATCAATTTGTCAGGTCTTCAGTGCTTGACAAGTCAATGCCAGCAATGAACGGGACTGGAGAAGACTGTAGGGTTGGGAGGGAGGAGGTGTGGGAGGAGTGGAAATGAAGGTGAAGAGAAGAAGAAGAGGAGAGGAAGTTCTTAGGCTGGACAGACCAAGAGTAAGAAATTTTGGTGGTGGCCTTCAGCGGCGAAACTGCCCGTCCAGAGTGTTCTTGGCTTGATTATTGTTCTTATGATTGTAATAAGGCATTTCCTACAGAACATTATGAGTTTCTCTACGGATTGTTCCCGGACTATTCTGTCTTCCAACATGATGCTGATGTTCATGGTGATTCTTGCTGGTATTACTGAGTATGATGTTATTGTGGCCATGTGAATGTCGCCATCGGAATATTGATCGACTCTTCTCGGCCCACCCTATATACAACATCTCATCCAATACTGCATACTGCTAGATTGGAAGGAAAAAACATTTCAATGTGCTATTAATTATCCTACAGAAAAATCATACTCATTCTTGAGGTATCTGCTTTGAGGCCGCCGTCACAACCTGAAATTCCCATCAGTGTCTCCCCCACGATCCATAGCTAAAAGTTACAAGACTCCATCTGTGTAAGAAAAACGCCCATTCACTCCTTTTGGACCCTGCTTTCCTCTCAATTGACTTCCGAGTCATCGTTCCGGTTGGCAGACTGGCCGTGGCTGAATGGTGTGGCCAGCCGCGGGGTTCTCACAGTCGTGTCGACCACATCACTGTCATAGGTTACCCCGTCCAGCATGCGAGCGTCATGCATCTGTTCCGGCGTATTCGATCCCGCAGGAGATAAGGAAGAGGACGCGGCGGCGTTGTCTTCGACTCCAGGCTGGTACGACGCGAGGGGGTTTGCTCGGCTCATGCTAGGACTTCCAGCTCCCAGTGAAGTCGGACGACCGGACGACATTCGGTTGAGACTGGGATGCGAAATCGGGCCACTAATCGTACTAGCGCCCTCTCCAAATGCAACCAGGCTTGCGTCCCCTTCACTGATATTTCCCACGCTAGACGTTTCATCGTCTTCGTTCGTGTCTTCGCTCATCTTGTCCGCGTCGAGTGCATCGCTACCGCTTGCCCATGTAGTACGAGCACCCACGCTGCCGGTGGCGCTGGCACTGCCCACGGTGCTTCTTTCTTTGAAGCCAGGTCCGCTGTCAAAGTAGCCGGGGCCGTGCGCCGTCGCGAAGATGAGATTCGACTGAGGAACACCTCCTGCTCGGGCGGTTGCGACACGTTCCAGCCCGGCGAGACGGGAGATGCGGTCGGCTCGTTCCGCCTCCAGGGTAGATGTAGACGTCGCCGAGGCAGAGGATGAGTGATGAGCATGTCGCCCGTGTGGTAGAGGCTGCCCCTGATGGCCGTCTTTGATAGCGGTGGTGGACAGTGCAGAGAGGGAGGTTGTGCCTGAATTTGGTGTGCCTCTGTTGAACAATTATACGAGTCAATTCATTGCGCTTTTCTTCTTCAAGCGATGCACTATCTTGTAGGTTGTAGAAGGAGAAGACGGGGGAAAAGGAAAGGGATGCTCTTACGGTCCCATGTCCGACGGCGTGACAGGATCCGAGGGCGGGGGAGGTAGATCTATGAGTGTCGGTGTGGTCATTATGTCGGAGTCCTTCAGTTGTGTGGGAATTGTGGTTTTAGAAGGAATAAGATTGAGCAGAGCAGAGTAGAGCAAAGGAGAGTGACGTCTGGCTTGACACAATCGAGATGCGTTCGTCGCGCAGCTAAACTGTTGGACTCCTCGTTGATAATCAGACGGGCAGATAAGATAGATAAACGACGGTAATCAGAAGAAAAGAGTCAAGATTGAGATGCTTGCAAAGGTGGATTAATAACGTTATAAAATATGATAGTCAAGATGCAGTCAGTGAGAAGATCGCATAAGGATTTTCGTTCATGCACGGGAAGCGCTCTGGAATAATGAGGTGGATTATGGCAGTATGCATGGAAACTCTCAGTCAGGTGCAGTGAGGCGTTTCTTCTAGAATATAATAAGGGTCAAGTAAGGCGGACTGATATCTGGTTCTAGATGGAGCAATAATAGTTTATTGATGAGCAGTGGCTACGGTGAAGTGTGTTGTGTTTCTCGTGGAACCTCCAATGAGTCCATAATAACCTCTCTAAATCACTAAATATCCATCTCCTGTCTAGTATTCGTCATTTATACCGTCTGTCTGACTGACTTTCTGTTTGTCTTTTGGATGAGGGTCGCAGACGACGAAAGGAGGGGGAGCTGACGTCATCGCAAGCATCCAGGCCATCAACCAATCACAGCTGCAAATCTAGTAGCAGGTATCGATGCCTGATATTGAAGGCCTTGCGGCACGAAATTTCGTTCTATCACTTGGTTGGTTTCATCGTTCGAGAAGGACGAATGGACGGATTTGCAACTGTATTGGATTGATCGCTATGTAGTCATAACTCATTGATCGGCTGCCTCTGACGTAACTTATATATACCAAGTCTCCCCATCGAGGGCACTCGCAGAAGCACATTGTAGTCAATGTATCATTCACTTCGTTATGGGTTCAAGAGTAGCAAGTAGACCCTCGTGCCAGGTGCATGAATAGCGCCGCAGTCTATCGTAACATTGTAAATCCTCTAGTGACTAACCTTGCGGCTTTCATAGTGACCACGGAGATCATCCACTTCTTTCTGTAGCCGCGACAAATCGGCCAAGATGTCATTGGCATTCGACGGACGAGGGGTAAAGTCCTCATCCTCTGCCCGCTTCTCCTCTGTAGGTTGGCTTCTACTGTTGCTATGACTGCTGGAAACTCGGTTCCTCCTCGGTGGCGGAGGTGGTGGCAGCGGGTTCACCTGAGATGCTCGCCTTGACAACAGCAGCTCACGTTGACCAGAACCAGGATCTGCCTCGTCTGACATCGGCGGAGCTATTCCGGGCTCCTGCGTTCGAGGACCTGGGCTCGAAGGAGGAGATGCATTCACCTCAAACATTCCAGCTGGCATTGATAGTCGAGAAAGATTTGCTCTGGACATAGTGCTTTTGGATCTCCTCATCTGACTATGTCGTCTACTCAGCGGCGGCGTTGGCGGCCGCTTGTGCTGTGACTGGCTACGTCTGAGCGTTTCAGCTGATTGAGGTGCTGGGTTATCATGCAGTGGAGTAAAATAATCAATCCTCGGCTGAGATGACCTGCTGGGAGGTGTATTTGGTGTGAGAGAAAGGGATGTCTCTGAGGAAGTGCCATGGTAGGAGAACCGTTTGGTGGGCCGAGGGGGTATCGGTCGGGAATGAGAAGAGGTCGCGTGAGGACTGGGATTGATCAACTTGCCATGATGGCTTTTAGGTGGCGGTGGAGGTTTCTTATCCCTGTTTGCCGAACGTACACCAAGAGGCTTCGGGCCAGACTCAAGCTCGGACGATGGAGGAACTGTATGTTGTCCAGGAATGCAGGCAGTACCACTGCCCGTATGAGCCGCCCCGTGAGGAGCTGATATAGGTACAAGCGCACTCGGCGCCGCATTCATCGTATTCTCTCGCAGGTTCTTCTGGTTTTCCAGCGCCCCCAAACGATTGCTATCTTCTGTTCCCGCATTCCGTCTTGCTGAGGAAGCCAGAGGGGTCGTGGGAGTCGATATTACTGCTCCTTGGGGAAACGGCGATGGGTGGGGAGCGACGTTGATAGCTGAGTGACGGCGATGAGCTGCGGGGGTCCAGCGATGAGAACTCCAGGCCTCATCATTGAGCTCCTCCCCGTCATCTACATCATTGTCGCTCATGTGCGAAATTTTTTGGAATGGGTCTGGCAGTGACTGATCGTCCGAGGTTTGAGAGTCGTCAGCATCTGACATCGAGGATCCGGGAGGGGTCACGGAATGGCCATGAGGAGTTGCGGACGAATTCGTCAGAGATCCGGCGGTCAACGGAGCAGTAGGGTAGGATGAGTTTGTCGAGACGGAGGACGGCGATAGATTAGGAGGCACTGCTAATGAAAGTCCGTCAGCGTTGACTTTATACACAAAGAGCAATAATAGACGAGGCACACCTCTCGGGGGCCAGGCACCGTCATGCCCAGCATTCGGAAGGGGCGGATGAACCTCACTCTCTGGCTTTTTAGGGCGGAAAGGATTTAATCCAGACATCGCAGAGTAAATGGCTCCCGCCGACCATGAGGGCAGGGAGAATGGAATTGATGAAGGGAGCTACGAAGGATGGAAGGTGAGATGGCAGCAGCTACGGCGTTTAAGATATGGAGGGCCTGTCATCCGCGCGGCTTCCGGCAAGCGGAGAGCATCACAAGTCGCGACAGCCAACGGGATCGGGACTTGCGCACTTCTATAATAATGAACAAAGCACGTTTGGTGCCTAGATAGATTGGGCTTTTTCTTGTTCAATGAATGGTCAAATTGATGGTGCTTGTTTGCATTCTGTCTGTATTCGATTGTCCTCCAACCGCTGCCTCAATAGTAAGGACGCCAGAGTTAAAACGCGATCAAAAAAAGGCTATATATTACATTGTGAAAATGATATCTGACCCGCATATTCAAGGGTACCCAGAAAGGAATATGAAAGAAAAGCACGTAGCGCGTGTTGAACAATTGAGAACAGGAAGAGGCCGCCTTCCCAAACACCTGAGGTTATACAAACAGACACGAAGGGTCATCACAAGATTCCTAACTCGGGCTCATCCATCCCGAGGAAGAAGGGTATCATCTGGCCCATTCGGAGGAAGAGATTCAGAACGCAAACCAATATCCACTTGAGCTCGCGTGCTAGCATGCTGGTGACCAGTTTTAGCTTTCGTTGTAGACATGCCACTGGACTCCTGGCCCGAAGAAGGCCTGTGCTAAACGTTTCCCACTCTCCGTCGGCTGACTAAAAGCAATCTGCTCCTTGGGAATCTCCATCCCATAGATAAAGTTGGTCACAACGCAATCAAGAAGATCCATGGCAATTCCTCTCCTTCGAGATGAGCCCGATGTCCAAATGCGCGAAATACCCACGATAGCGGGGTGCACCTCGTCCCGGACGGTAATCGCAGAGTCGGTCGGCTGATCGGCTCCATTCTGAGCTGGTGTCGAGCACTCCACGGGCCGTGATTCCCAGATACGCTCAGTGAGACATGCTCCCACACATCGGCTGTCCTTCATGTGCAGAAACACCTTGTAGCGATCCACTTTCTCCTCTGCACCGTTCTTCCGCAGACGTTCAGGAGGCTCCGTTTGGCTCCATAAGACATCGTCTGAGATTTCAGGCGCAGACAACTCCTTGCTGATGACTTCCAGAACCTTCTTGGCCTGATTCTTCACGGTCGGAGAAGCCTTGCGATCCACAATAACAACGTAACCTTCGTCGAACCGAGTGGCTTCGTACACCCAGCGGCATGCGTTCGCCCTCATAAAAGCCTTCCCCAAATCCACCCCGGTCGAGTTCATGTCGTGAAACTTCTTGTGAAGCGCCGCGTCCTCCGCATTGGAGGGCACATACTCCATCCCACAAGTAGCACAGGTTTTTCTGACTTCGTGTCCCAGATCAATCTGCATCTGTTTCAACACGGGTGGTTGCGACTGCGCCGCCTTCTTCTTGGGGGGATCGACCGACGACCGCACACTATTGGAGTTGACTTCCGTGAGCGGGGTGCCATTGCTCGCATCTTTCGTCGATGACTGCTTGCGCTTCAGAAATGAAAAAGTGGGTTTTCTCGTGTTTGCCGGGGGAGGGGTCAATCTGGGAGGCGGCGATGATGGAGGCGTAGACAAGTCATCGTCATGCGTCCCCTCCGAGAGAACTACTGAATTGCGACGCGACGGGCTCGATAAAATGGCAGCGGAAGACTCGCGAATAGCATATTGAAGACTGTTTTCCGCGTCGTCGGACTCGTTGCCCGCCTCGACGCGTCGCTTTTTCGCGGCAGGGCCATTATCGTCGTCATCATAGACGCGCCATAGAGATCTTCCGTAAGTTTTCATGAGTCCTCTAGAACTGGACAAATTAGAACAGCGGTAGTTCAAGGAGAGAATAGTGATAATAGTGACCGAGCAAAGAGAGTGAAGGGGTAAAGAAAGACGGAAATTAGACAAAAAAGCAAAACGTACCGCTTGAATGAATTTGTTACAGTCCACGGCATCTCCCTTGTTTTTCTTCAGAGCACGGATTCAACCGAGTCGAACATCAAGAGCATATGTGTGTGAGCTTGGGTGGGAGGCGAATGCAAAAGTGAAGGAAGAGTAGCAGCAAAGATGATTTCCTAACGAATATATTATTATGATGGATTGTATTATTATTATTATTCGCGATATTTTGTTCCAGCCAACAGGCGGATTTTGGCGGAAACAATAATAATAAACCGACGATAAATAATCGAGATACGTGCCTCTGTATGTAAGCTTGATCGACGAGTGACGGAACGCGTTGCCTCAGGCGCTAATCCACATTTAGTCATATTACTCGCTCGGGCGCTTGACAGGGATCATTCTTCAGTTGCCCTTCCACAGTTCCACATACCTTAAGGAGGTAAGGTTAGCACAGATACTAATGGCCAGTAGGTGACTAGAGGCACCAGAGCCACCAAAGCGGACTAGGTTCTCGTTTGATCAAAACGGTCGGAAGTCTGTTGGTGATAGCAGCAATGTGAAAGGATCTTGATATTTCGGACACGAGGCTACCAATCTAAGCCACAGACAACGGAGGTTCGTACGATGAAAATGACTCAGAGGAAGGACGCGGTCTCCCGTAGTTGCACACAAGAGCTTTGTGATAATTCAGAATTGGATACAGGACGAGAAGAATGACGAGGATTAATACGCCGTATATGTAGCCAGATTCAAGGGGAAGCAGTAGAAGATATGGAGAACAGCTCCCGGAGGTATCTCCAGGCTACCATTAATATAGGACACGGAGGGGCAGTGATGATGATATTAGTATGATATTATAATTATTAACAGTGAACACAAGCGGATATTGGATGCTCACTGTTGGCTTTTGGGCAGCTGAAGATCGTGGGACACTGGGGCCAGGAAAAGGAGCAACAGCTGGTATGATTTAGCTAGTGGCATGGCCTCATTTCCATTAGGTTTTGCCTCTGCCTCCTATACCAATAATAATAGGTGAGTGCTCCATACTAGTTACCTGGGTATCTTCTCGTGGGCTGAATTTGCCTCCTGAAAACATGACAGCCTATGGGTGGCCACCAACCACAGTCGTCATACATGGCTGGAGGAGTTTCAGGGCCACTCGTCGGTAGGGGGAGCTATCTTGGCTACTCCATAGATAGATACCTTGCTTAGGTAGACTTCAATACAACCACAGTCGAGGATTGACAACCCGATATTGTTATTACTATTGAGGTGATAGGTGTGTACTTCCTTGTTTTGCGTGCCTTGTCTTCCTACCTAACCCAACCAATCTATCCCATTTTGACTTCTGATTGTATACCGAAGGGTTGATCGGCAACCTTGGGATGGCAACTGACAGCATGCCAGAGATCGTTCATTCCTTTCCGTACGTGCTCTTCGCTCAGAGATCGTCTGCAGCTTTGGTACACAAGGTGTTGCGGATTCCCCAGCCTCGCCTATGCCCTTGCTGAGAGAGCTCACGAGCCACGATTTTACTGGACGGTATACGAGAGAGGTGTACCGAATTGCGCCTGGCCTTTTACGCTTCGTGATGTGGTCCATCTGTCTTTCTGGCGACTACTCATTCGAGATGATAGAACTGAATGCCATAAAGGTGAACCAAGTCTCGTCTCATACGGATTAGAAGCATCGCTGAAGGGGAAGTTGAATTCGACGGGATCCAGGCAGATGTACTCGAAGTAGGCAACAACAACAATTCATACATTGATTGTTCGGAAAATTCGCTGACTACAGGGTGCTCGTTTCGTGCGACTACCTTCTGATCATGCATCTAACTTTCGCTTCTCCCATTTCGAGGAGGCACAAGAAGGTAGGACGATATTGACATGCATCCAGCCGGCATCTGCAGCATCAGTTGGTCTTGTTTTCCACTATCATTAATGGCTGTATGAAGATAGGAATGTCAAATGTCGGTCATTTATGCTACGATCAGTCGGATCAATGACTGAGATCCAAACTGCTAACTAATACTTTGATTCTTTTTCGTTGGAAGACGGAGTGCTAGAGCTTTGAAGCCACCGCTCCCTGGTGACTTTTGGGGGATAGACGCCTTCGAATCAATGGAACAGATGTGGTCTTCGATTTGGGGCCCGTTGGTCTTTTCCACATAATCTTTCTATGCTGTAGGCAGGCAGGAGCTCTATCAATTTGCAAACCAGCGATGTGAATGGGCTCGCGCTCACCGACCGCTCTTCTGGCGAAGCTAGAGTTGTACTCCTTACTTGCCCTGCAAATGGCTGCTGATCAGATACCTGTAAAGGCACGTGAGCTGGCGGTCTCTACGACCACAATCACAGTCACCCTGGACTTACAGAATGAATATCCCTCTTGTGTATCAAGCGGCTCCAGGGTTGTCCTCCGTAACAGATACACTCTTCGATGAATGCGTCAAATCAGTCAAGAGCGTTGCTCGCTAGACCAAGGTATTGGATAACATCCCACACCTCTGTCTTCCTAGGTTCAGTTCAAACCCCGCATTGAATCTTGAAGGCGTTGTGCACACAGTTTCATGTTTACTTTTGCCCGAAGTGTAGACAAAGTGACTCTGGTAAGATATATACAGTAAGCCGGCGCATGATCGACCAATGATTTGTCAATGACAATATGATCCCCGCAAAACTGAGGTAGATGTGAACTAGACTAGAGACCAGCTTGATGCACTGGCTCTATGTAGGATTATGCACCAGGGAAGCCCATAGATTAGATGGGGAATGACGAGGTGTCAGACCAACGACGCCAGAGGGATTTCTTACTCTCTTCCTGCAGGAGCTCACACGGCGTGGCCTATCAGGTCGGTTGTATTGACTACGCTTGATGTTGCTATTCGGTTGAGATCCTTGCGTGAGGGAAAATGCGCCGAATACTAGACATTACTAGACATTACTGGACATTTATTGGAAGGTTTGTAAGAAAATAGTGCTGATCAAAGATGACCACCGCTGCAGCAGAGTATTTAGAGCGTGCTAGGTCAATAATACAGACGTTGCCCAATATTGCTTACTGCGATACCTGGTAGTGTAGAAAGGCTTCGCTAGGTACACGGTGGCTACAAATTATCCATGTCGAAGCCCTCGGAAGTTATCAACTCCCAGCGGACGCTACAATCTCTGCTGAACACCATGCGTCTCCTATTAGCGTCAGGAATATCCGTGTTGAATACGAGGGTGAATTAAATTATTCTGGATTCAAAGATACCATGGTAAACGAAGGATTCGTTGACCACCTAGAATACTTCCAATACCTTGCAAGGTGTATAAACGGGACTACCTAGGTACACTTTACTTCAATGCAGTACTTAGATGGGGGCGGAACCACCATACGAATAAGGCTCTTTTACCGTGGAAACGGCCTAGTTAGATGACTTAGCCAAGAAGAATGTATAGTGATGATAAGTATTATTGTCCGTCTACGGAGAATCGACCAAAAGGTCCGTAGTAAGCAGTATATACAAATTATACGCCGTAGTATCGGAGGTCTTCTTATCCCGCTTGTGAACCTGTGGGTGACCGAGAGAAATCTCCTCTTCCACTTTCTTCCTCTTCCGTTTCTTTGCCTATTGCACTCCCCCCAACAATTTCTTATTTTCTCTCTCTTGGTTAAACCTCTTCTTCAATTCTTCGACAATATATCTATATTCCTCTTCTCGCGATCAGAATCTTCAAAGGAAGAATCCTTCAACAACAATACAGGCAACATGTCGGACGCTGCTCAAATCGCCGGGAAGAGAAAGAGACCCAGTATGTATCTGTCATTTGTCCATCTGCTTGTGTCCTTTGTTCCCCGTCCCTCTTTATCCTTTCTTTTTTTCGTACCTTTTCATCCCCCCTCTTGCATATATCTGCTCAACTTTTTCTTGTTAAAAATTGTCTCTGTGATTCTACTCTTTGTCTTGGCAGCGTCCGTTTATCCAATATCTCTGGAAGGTTGTCAAGGAAATTTTTTTTCCAAAGCAGACATCATTCTCAATTTTCTTCCCGAATGTCTTAATCGCATGCTCGTGTCTCACCTTGAGCGCAACCCTCCGTGTCACTACTCCAAATCCAGACTGTCCCTCTTTCTTCCCCTCCCTTGGAATTAGATTTGTTTCATCTGCCAGGCTTCGGCGATCATCTTACCCCTCTTTCTCGGTGCTACACCACCGGCGATCAATCATCCAACATGACTGACCGCGATCGATCTTCAGGGACCCAGTCTTGCCCGCCTCCGGAGTTGCCTCAACTGGTCGCTGAACAGCATGTCCCTATTCCTGCCAATGACAAGGAGACAAAGCGCTTGATTGTCGTCCTCTCCCATGCCAGTTTGGAGACGTATCGTGCTTCCCATGGTGGTCGCAATGGCTCGGGTCGGGATGAAAAATACTCGTTGCTCAATAGCGATGAACACATTGGTGTGATGCGCAAGATGAACAGAGATATCAGTGAGGCTCGGCCTGATATCACCCATCAGGTTTGACTCGCCCAGGCTCCATGGAAAGGTCTGGTTTCAGAATTGCTAATCTCTTCGCTCTTCCTCCACGCAACAGTGCCTCCTCACTCTTCTCGACTCGCCGATCAATAAGGCTGGCAAGCTCCAAATCTACATCCACACTGCGAAAGGCGTCCTCATCGAAGTTAACCCATCCGTCCGCATTCCTCGTACCTTCAAACGGTTCGCCGGTTTGATGGTTCAGCTGCTGCACAGACTCTCCATTCGTTCCACCAATTCTCAAGAAAAACTGCTCAAGGTCATCAAAAATCCTATTACGGACCACTTACCTCCCAACTGCCGTAAAGTCACCCTCAGTTACGAAGCCCCAGTCGTGCGGGTCAAGGACTACATTGATTCCCTGGGTCCCAAGGAAAGTATCTGTATCTTTGTCGGTGCCATGGCAAAGGGCCATGATGACTTTGCGGACTCGTTCAAGGATGATACTATCAGTATCAGCAACTACAGTTTGAGCGCCAGTGTTGCGTGCAGCAAATTCTGCCATGCTGCGGAGGAATCATGGGGCATTCTTTGAGCAACGCCGCGAATCGGCGCTCGAGAGCGGCCATATTTTGACGACTGACGAATTTCCTTTTTCGCTACCTGCCATCCGGCGCCGAGGTCGAAGTATAGCGAACGCTAAGCTTGAGAACGCATGCCTTTGAACGCGTGCCCCTTATTGTCCGTCTTTGGATTCATTGCCTCCCGTTTCGCGTCTGTTATGGTATTGTCCTACGTTCTCCCTCTCGCTACTAGCTTCCGGGACCGATGTGACTTGATATACGACCATCAATACGACATCGCTTACGCTTCTTTTCGAGGTCTTGAAATTTTCTTGGACGGCTTTTCTTTCCTCCCCTCAAGGGGACAATCAAATCCATGTGTTCCAGTACTCTGAAAGGCTTCCATTCCAAGCCCATCCACCATGGAGTGTTGAAGTTAAGAGACAGAATCAGACTCGGTTTTTGCCTTTGACTTTTTGCCTCTTGATTTATCCTCCAGAGGGCAACGGACTGGCCGGTGCTGGGAGCCCGTACCACTTACATCTAAAATCAGTACCATTGATGACTGAGCCTTCCGGTTGGTCTTATATTGAATATATATATATCATCATATTCATGTACATTTTCTGCGTCCCGCATCGTAGGTGGATTACCATATAAACATCTAGCGATAGGCCTGTCATTGTCCAAGTCGAAGGAAACAGGAATCTGCTCGGTTCGATCAGTGAAGAGCATGAAACAAGACTCATACCATATGGACTTGGATGATGAGATAGAAATATAAAATTCTCCAGATTGCGTAGAAAATGATCGACCAGGAATGTCACCATGATTGCCTGAGATAACAGGCATTCACCAAGGCACCGACAACTGTATGCTCTGTGCTCATTTGATCAGCTCTCCCTTTTCCTCCCTCCAACTCTGCAGGATAAAATGCTTGTAAAGACAACAGTAAATCCGAGATCCTGCGATTACTTCTCCTGCTGCATCTTACAAACATGCCTTCCAGGGTATTCACTATTGATCGGCTGGCCCCGGTGACTGGAGACGAACTATGCTTAGACTCGCTTCGACGTGGCACGCAGAGACGCTTGCATTCTCCTCTAGGTGGATCTTCCGCTTCACTTTTTCTCTCTTTGGCTGCGGAGGTCTAGAATATGAAACTCATACCCTCGGACAATCGTTCCGGACAGCGATGGCGGTCATCAATTGTGCATCTACAATCTGGTTCCAAAACAATCCAGAGAGGCGCTGGGCCCTGATGGTCATCTTGTCATTCGACTGATCGCTCCAGTGTTTTAGAACAGCGCAGTCTTATGTCAGTCTCGCACTCCTGACAACAGAATGAGATGGTGCATCGCCCAAGACACAGTCGCAGATAGTGGATGCATTTTGGCGGTCTGACAGCACCATCTGGCGACTAAGAGCAGCAGAAGTGCCCAAACACGAACCGGATTGGAGCATCCCAGGACAAGCCATCGCTCTGAGTCTTGCAGAGAGATCCCCTCCAAGCTCTGCCTCACTGGCCCCATACGACTACGACTGACAAGTCCGTCTGTCGTTTATTGTCGCACCTTTTCCATTTGGTGATCTAGTGGGCCTAAATTCCGCAATCATCCTCTCAAGCTGTTGCAGTAACCGATCACAAGTCAGTAACACTCCTCTTTTTCGACTGGTGATCCTATTCTCCCATTCACTACTCGTTCTCCGGGACATTATTTTCCGCAGTCAGCGCAGTGTCAAGTAGTATTCATCATGGTCAATTGGCTCGAACCTTGGTCCATTCATAATCCAACGTAACAAGGCTTCGCGCAGGGACACCTGATGCTTTTCCAACTCCCTTGGCTCAATTCCAAGCAGGTTCCAACTGTTCTTTGATGGGCGCCCCATTTGAGTTGGACAGGGCCACCTACTGGACCGTCCGCCGCATCCAGCGGCTCCCCCCGGTGCCCCACGATGACCTGGCGCCATGGAGTCACTCTAAGCTTCACCGAAAAGGAAAGAAGACCGTGGCATCAGGAGTTACTTGACTCCATGATTTCGATAACCATTGGAGCTCACCTTTCCCGGTTGGGGCCTGCAGGGCCGGGACTCTGGTCGAGGTACGGTGGATAATCCGGGCCACCTTTTCGGATGCTTTGAGAATCCAACTAGGCATGCGACTTGTGCCTGTACTATTGCCAAAGCTGGCTCCTGGAGGGGTTCATTTCCCTTCATGGATACGTACATTTGCTCTAAGGTTCCGACCGTCTGTTATTGGATATTGGTTGGGCATGCTTAGGTCTCTCTATCTGTACAGCAAGACCTGCCTTGAAATAGCACCGCCAGTCCTCTCGTGCTTCTGGACTATCCTCTTCGCTTTGAAAGTGTCATTCAATCACCCGCACTCTGTACCCAAGATTTCGAGTATTATATATACGCTGTCCTCTTCTTAGGAGGATTAGGAATCTCAGCTCCTCTTTTGATTCTTTTCCTTGCATGTTGTTCATAGACATCCTTGTTTTGTGACTCGACTTTCTTCTATCTCCGTATCATCCTGCGATCACAAATACTGTCCTGAACTCCTGGAGTATATACTCGGCGAGTCGACTCCAACGCAGACATGCCTCTGTCCCACCTCACCCTGACTGTCTCCCACCTCCCAACATCGACTTCCTTCTTCCTCTCCTGCCTACAGCCCCTAGGGTATCATTTTATTGGTCGCCATGATGACTATATTGGATTCGGTCAGAAATCAGGCGAGCCGGCAGACTTCTGGATAACAGAACAGAAGCCAGGGTCAGTATTCTTTCTTGGGCACCCTACCATAGCCCCATTGACGAGGACGAAATCATAGATCGCCAGCTGGTGCAGCACATGTTGCTTTCCCTGCGCCGTCAAAAGATGCTGTAGGATCCTTTTTCATCAGTGCACTGAAAGCCGGCGGAAAGATTCACGGTGAGCCAAAGACGCGCGACACGGACTCGGGATACTACAGTGCAGCAGTGATCGACTTTGACGGCAACAGCATCGAAGCTGTGTACCGTCCGGGTATCTCTGCTGCTAAGTCAGAAGTTAGTGCACCAGCAATTGGCCTGCTTGAGAATGGGTCTGTGGTGTCCCGAGCTAGCACAAAGGTCAGCTCCGTCAAGCCTCAAAGTATCGCTCCCTCTGCCAGGTCAGAGGCCAAGTCGTACGTCTCAAGGGCCACTACTGCTGTAGAGCGAGGAGCACCGTCGGAGCGAACTGCACCGACCATCATCTCGCGGGAGATTCAGCAAGTGCCGTCTCCGACCTATATCGTCAACCATACAACTCACACCACCCAAAAGAAGGACGACAGCACAGCCAAGACAATCGTTGGTACGCTCATCGGAGCGGCTGCAGGTGCAGCAATCGCTTATGCGATGACCAAATCCGAGTCACAGTCCTCGGAGGTCACTCCTCCTCCGCAGTACACACCCCGGGATTTCCCTCAGCTGACGTTTCCATCGCAAGCTCCCTCGCTAGCTCAGGAACATCAGGGCTACAGGGCTATTGACGCTCCTCCCGCCAGGAGCACTTTCTCCCGATCAGATGTGCGGTCCACTCTGACTCGCAGTGTCTCTTCGAAGAATCCTCGTGCGAGCACAATATACGAAGACACAGAGTTCGCCCGCCCCCGTGGAGAAAATGGCAGTGTGTACCTCGACGAAATTGGGCGTCGTGCCTCGGATGGGAGTGTCTACACGGTGAGGGATATCCCTCTGAGAGCGATTGAGTACCCCCCACCGGCCCGTTCGAGTACGTATCCATGCAATCCCAGCACTCTCATCAGCAGCTTCCCGGACAAGTCGCGAGTCATGGATAAAGAGAGCGTCTATTCAGCATCGACTGCCAAACCATCCAAAGCCAACTATCACGATCACCACTCTTCCCGCCATTCCTCGCATCAGTCAGCGGCCAGATCCTTGGCCGGAAGCACGACCTCCTCCGCACGAACGGCCCGTCAGATCCCTCTGCCTGAAGGGTCCGTGACATCTTATGCGTCGTACCGCAGCGGTGCAAAGTCGGGTGTCTCCGCCCGTGAGATCCCGCTTCCCCAGAGCGTCGTCGATGACTTTGAGATCCAAACCAATATCACGCCGGACGATTCTATAAGCCAGGTCGATTTCTCACGGAGGTCCTCTTACTCCCAACAATCTCACCGCTCCAAAGCCCCCTCTCATGTCTCCAAACGATCCAGCAAATTCGACGAACCCGTCCAACCGAGCGACAGCGTTAGTCAGGTCTCGACCAATGTGTCCAAGGTGTCGCAGAGGACTATCAAAGCAAACGGCAGTATAGCCGGGGGCGCCTCCAAGGCTCCATCCAAGGTCAGCAGTCGGAGAGGCAGCCAGGTTGCCTGAGCAGAGTCAAGGCCCCGCGCCTTGGTTTCTCTTCGTCTTTCTTCAACTTGCTCGCTTCTTCGTTCCCGCCTTTTCTCTACATACTCTCAGGGCTCCTCAATCAGCCATGTAACGACAGTGTACTCGCGGCATATCACCACGCATTAAATGGGCAGCAGCAAGGTCGGGCGTTTTTGTTTTTTCGTCGTCTCGTTGATCGTGCATTGATGTCTAGTACATATACTCGAAACACATAGACTATGTATGATGCGGCCATAGAACAGTTCAAGAAGCTGGCCGGTCGTCTTGATTTGTCTTTCTCTTTCTTATGTCTGGGTCGCGATTTTCTCGATTGTCTTCTTCTTTCCCATCTTCGCCTCTTTTCTATTATCTTTCAAGCATTTGGTGACATTACAGGTCGATCAGCACACTAATTCTTATGAACATCTCGCATGCATTTGTGTAGTCCTCCATGTCCTTATTCGCAGACTGCAGCCCATGGCTACTGGCACAAGGGCTCTTGGTTTAGACTAGAGCTCTACAAGTACGACAGATCGGAACCCATTAAAAGCACAAGCATTGAAAGCAAACTCATTCTTAACCGGTCAACGGGTCGGACGTGGTCTTGCCTTTTTATACCTATCGCTATCTAATACACACCGTTACCACCACCGGCGCACCACCAAGTCTCCCCTCCCTTTCCGCTCTCCTCACGACTCACGCGACCTCTCTCCTTTCCCCGAGGCAAAACCCTCAAGCCATACGAGCCACAACTCTGCCGCCCAAAGACCCGGCCTTTGAGGTTTTTATGTTCATCAAATGGATTGTCGAACTCCTTCCAGTCGAGATCGAAAAAAAAAGTGCTATGAATGCATCAAAGACAATTGGTCATTATGATCGTAGGACATGACACTTCCCGCCGTTAGAGAAAGCGCAGAGAATAACACGAATTTAGAGACACGCGATTGTTTCACAGTAAGAACAAGGAACGGATCTACGATCACGGTACGCCAGGCTTCGGATCTGATCTAACGGAGTGAAAGATGACGCAGAAAGAATTGGGAAGACCGGGGTGGCCGTGCAGAAGTCAAACTGTGAAGATCAAATAGCGTATTTGCGTGTCCATTCACGGGCCGTCGCTTCGTACCGAGGGCGGTCGGTCTTGTAGACGTGAGCGATCTCAGGCACCAACGGGTCGTCCGGGTTAGGGTCTGTGAGCATTGAGCAGATCGAAAGCAGCACTGGACAGCGATCAGCATCTAAGAAAGGAGGATCGTTCACATCGATGAATACCTTTAGAGATTGTAAGAGCGGGGCTCCACTGGTCTCGCAGAATGTCAAGACAGATACTGCCATTCGAGTTGATGTTGGGGTGGTAGATACGAGTGGTAAAGTTGACCTTGGGTGGCTTAAACGGATAATCGGTAGGGAAGTGGATGGTCAGGAAGAAGACGCCTCCCGAGTATGGCGAGTCACCCTGTCAAAGAGGGATGTCAGCATTCAAGAGCATAGACGTAAGATACCCAATCACTCTTGAGTCACAAATGCGACCAGTGACTGAATAAGTTGGGGGAAACTTACAGGACCCATGATTGTTGCTTGCCAGTGAAACTATTACACCAGCTGTCAGTGGCCATGTTCAAATTGAAATGAGATGCTGGGAGGAAGTTGCAGGGCATAGGCGGATTCTTGCAGTATGCCGCGCCGCACATGGCAGCTGCACACGACAGTAACATCAAAGCTTGCGACGAAAGGGGTCGGGAAGATATCATACCAGATCATCTCCAACAGGGCCAGCCGAGCAAGAAGAGGGCGGATCGCTAAATGAACAATCAATATCAGCAGTGTAAAAAGCTAAAAATGACGTCTTGAATTCAGGAAATGGAAGCGCCTCAGAGGACGCCCAAGACACCCCGCAGTAGTGGGGTGAACGACACCACGCCGCAGTGGCCGTAAGGACGACGACAGAGCGAGCGAAAAACTGAATGTCTTACCGGCCGAGGTCAGTGAGTTCCTTGTTAATTCTCTTGAGAGCCATGTCGGAAGTTCTGTGATATGAAAGAGTGTAGATAAAAGATCAACACTCAAAAGAGGTATTGTTTGTTCTGCACACACAGAGTACCGAACGTTAGTACTGAAGACCAGGAAGTGAGTAGTAGATCAACTGAAATATAACAGAAGAAAATGAAGAGAAGAGAAGAAAAGAGGAAGAGAATGATAAAAATGGAGAGGACTAAGGGTGGACTCACTAGGGACAAGAGATGGATTTGATTACGTCGGAAATGAGAGGGCGAAAAAGAAGAAGAAGAGCAGGAGGAGGGGAAAAGAGGAAGGGAATTGGGCTGAAAGAGGGAAAACGAGAGAGAAGGGGAGAGAGTGGCAGAGAACCTCAGGCAAACTTTCCGATCAGCGGGTTACTTACGTACAGAGCGGTATTACCGTTAGAATACTCATTGTGCTAACCTGAATAGGTTAGATTATCTGGATTTTACTAGGTGAAACTAAGTACTATCCTGCTCCAGCCACACTGCGTCATATGGTCTTGTCGTTTCTTAAAGAATGAATAGTGATATAAGGGTTGGTGATATCCTATCCTTGAACGTCGACAATAAAAATCAGCTTGACGGAGATGTTACATTGGACAACCAACCCTATCTAGGAATATCAGCCCCTGTCGATCGGGTCAGGGTGATGTATCAGGCCTTCCATGTCAATCTTGATGCATCGCCACTGTCCGCCAGTTGATAACTTGTTACTTAATTTTTAAGTGGACGATCGATACGCCTCTTCGGATCGTTCCTTTGTTTTTCCTTCAGCCTTGTCCTTTTTCTTACAGCGGATTACACAGATTTACAAATGATGACAAAGTAAGACTTTTTGAGCCTTTTCTTTGCATCTCATAAAGCGGTGGTGGCAAAGTAGAAGAACTGAGATATCAGATTTTTTTTTTGGTACATGTTCATGTTACAGATGTAAGGTTGAGTGCGGAGTGAATGAGGACCTGGAAGAGTATGAGACTCGTGGTAGCATAGTCGTTTGCTATGGCTTCTTCTGCCACTATCATGCTGCGGCTTGGATATATACAGGCAATATCAAACATGGTTTCAAAGCAATCATTCCTATAGGTCGACCAGGAAGGGCTAGAATGTCTTAGACAAACGCCTGAACTCCTGTGATGGCCCGTCCCAGTATCAATGCTAAACCCCAGCAATGTCAGTCTTCAACTCATCATGTGGAAATGACAGGCTATGATATCCGCGGGGTACTCACCGTGAATGTCACTCTGTCCTTCGTAGGTCTGCACCACAAATAGATTGGCTACGTGTCGTCCGATATGGTATTCGTCGCTGGTTGCGTTACCGCCGAAAATCTCCTGGAGCCTACCCATCGAAAAAGCCGTTAGTATGATTCGACTCCCAGCAGCGGAAGTTGCAGGAAGGGAGACACATACAGCCGTGCATTCGCCAGAGCTCGATCACAGTTCTGCCTCTTGACCATGGAGATCATCTCGGGAGTGCTCTTGCCCGCGTCCTTAAGCCGAGCTACCTGAGTGGCAGCCAACGTTCCATATGCCGCATCAGTGGCTGCATCGGCTAGTTTCTTCTGGACGAGCTGGTACTTCGCCAGCGGGTTGCCCTTGAACTGCTTCCGCTCCAGTGCATAAGTGCGGGCACGGTCGATGCAGTCCTCCAGAGCGCCCATGGCACCGAACGCAATGCCCAACCGGGCACTGTTCAGGCAGGTGAAGGGGCCCTTGAGGCCTTCGACGTCCGGAAACATGTTCTCCGCCGGGACAGGGCAGTCGTCCATCTGGATCATACCTGTGATCGATGCGCGCAGAGCAGTCTTGTTCTTGATCGCCGGAGTTTGCAGTGTGCCGGGCGGGCATTGGCTACGCTCGACGATGAAACCCTTGATCTTGCCGGTCGTCTGCAGCTTGGCCCATACCAACATGATATCCGCGATGGGGGAGTTGGTGATCCATGTCTTCGCTCCGGACAACAAGTAGTAGCCCTTCTTGGTAGGGTGTTCACGCGCAGTCGTCTCCATCGAACCGGGGTCGGAGCCGTGGTTGGGTTCTGTAAGACCAAAGCAGCCCGCCAGTTTCCCCCTGGCCAGTTGGGGTAGGAATCGGTCCTTCTGCTCCTGGGTGCCGAACTCGTAGATACCCGTCATCGCCAGCGAGCTCTGCACAGACATTCCCGATCGATATCCCGAGTCCACCCGTTCGACTTCTTTTGTGATCAACCCCGAGGCAACCGTACTCGCACCGGCGCATCCATATCCTTCAATGCTCGCGCCGAGAAGGCCCAGCTCCCCCATTTCCTCCAGGATTTTACGGTCATAGTCTTCGTTTCTATAGGCGTCTAAGCAAATGAAAATCTGTAAGCAGAAATCACACACACATGGTCCCTAGGTATGACTTACCGAGAACACGGGGAAGTAATCGCTCTTGGCAGTATTGTCGGGCTGTGTCCTGAATCGCCAGTTCCTCATCCGTGTACAGCTCCGACGCGGCCAGGGGATCCTCCCAATTAAAGACTGTCGAATACGCCCGTACCGAAGCATTTTGGCAGACCGCGGGAGCTTTGTACAGGCGATTCGCTGATCGAAGGTTACGCGATGCTGCGCGGAAGATTGAGCGGTTCATGATTGATTTAAACGAAAGAATGCGGCGCGAGAAGGGATGTGAGTGAAGTATTACAAGTCAATCAAAGATCGGGTATCTATTTTAGTAAATCTCCTCCTGCACGGCTCTCAAGTCGAATTGAAATTGACTGCGGCAGCTGGTGGTTATCCAGAGCAGCAAGGGTGCAACATGAATTGCGGGGAGCCCGATTGTCCGGATAACGCTTGACCTCGGCAGTCGATCAGGATGTTTGTCTGCCCTCCGATGATAGAGCAATTCGAGGTACCGAATTCAGTAGTGAAAGCAAGAATTGAATCAATGCGAGTCCAACAACCGATTTTCATCCATACCTATATACCCGCATCGAAGGCCGACCTCGGTGATCCTCGGTCATCCGCACCTCCTACTCTGGGTCATGTTAAGCCTCGGGATTGTTTCCGTTCCGTCGGTGCCACCATCCAATAACCGTCAGGATAAGCCAAGTCCTAACTAGAGGCATTTGGCTGTCTGCATGATATTACTGATAATCTATGTGCATGCTCTAGGCTACATGGCTGTCACATCAAATATTTACCCAGTAGACGGAAGCCTCGCTTCACGATGACGTCTTGACAACATTGGTCGTTCATGCCTCTGCCTTAGTGGAGTGAATCGTTATGAAGCTGTCATTCACCGACAGCTGCAGATTGCAGTTACCTATACAAGGGTAGGTTTCGTCATGGAGAAATCGATGCCGGAAGAGAAATGCCTTCTCAGTGGGAAGTCGGACGGACTGCCTGAGTTGCATGCTTGGATGGCAACGGTTTGGTCTTTCAAGCCATCCAAAACAGTCGTGGACACATTGACACGACAAATGTAGTGCTCAACAGTTCATTGGCGGACTCAAATATGGATACGTACGACAGAATCCGGAATCGACTGGCTAAGTTCGGTACTAATTGACTGATAATGTCGGAGGATTCAGGAGAGCCCCAACCTGGGCCCTCGAGTAGAATGAACGGTCCCATTAGTTACTGTTCTTCCACTGCATGTTGTATTAAGACAATGCGAGTTGTTGCCGATTGACTGCCTCAACAGCTCAAGCAGGCATCTGAGACTGAAGAAAATCGAAGACGCCCGTAGGGAAATACTCCTCGTCGAAGCCCCATAAATCAGCCATCATAGGATCCAGAGAGCCTATCGAGAGACCTGGCTGCTGTTTCCCTTGCAACTGAGCAGGTTCATACCCATTACTGCGCTCAGCCGACAAAGGAGCCATTCCGGGTAGCGGAGGAGGGTGGCTCAGAATGGTGTCTCGTTCACCCAATGGTTGCGCTCCAGGAATTATAATGGGTTTGAACATTGATGTAGCCTCATAGGAATTCTGTCCCAGAGGTTGCTGGCCCCCCGAATTTCTCTTTTCCCACTCCTCGAATCCTGTAAGCATCTTGCGCAAGCCACGGGCTATATGATGAGTAAGATGGCGCTCACTAGCACGCTTGCTACAAGTGACCATCAGCTCAATAATTCTACCAACCAAGGCACGCACGTAAGGCGCATCGATTGAAAGACCTGCCGAGGCAATGGAGTTTTGCTGTCCTTGTGCATTGGCCAGCGTCCCGGAGCAACATTTGGCGGCGATCTTGAGGAGGAACACGGCTGCAAAGGTGATCATACTGTGGAGGTATAGAGGAACACCGATCAAAGCTCTTTGAATGTCGGGTTCATCGAGTACCACCAGGAGGGTTTCGATCGCAGATTCTATCGCCAGATTGGCATGTTTCTTGCGTTCAGCGGACATCGGCCGCGACGAGTTCGAGGAGTGATACGTCCGTAAAGCAACCGAGTTCAGTTGCAGACGAGAGAAGTGGTAGTGCAGATAGACGGCTTTGTAAGGGTATGCACCGACGTACCGACTTCCAGCTGTTTCATCTCAATATTAGCGTTCTTTCATATTACCAACGCAAGCAGATCAAGCCGT